TGCCATCCTTGGTAGGGTGCCGTGGCAACACAGCTCACAGCAGTCTCAAACTCTTGGGCTCAAGTGATTCTCTTGTCTCAGCCTCCTGAGTAGCTGGGACTATAGGTACCCACCACAATGTCCAGCTATTTTTAGAGATGGAGTCTTGCTCTGGCTTAAGTTGGTCTCGAACCTATGAGCTCAGGCAATCTACCAACCTAGGCCTCCCAGAATGCTAGGATTACAGGTGTGAGCCACTGCACACAACCTATTCAGTACATATTAAAGGATATATATTTATATAGCAAAAGTAGCTTGATTCAAATGGCCTGGTCACATATTTATATGAAAATAAAAGTACAAGTCGATAGGTTCCACCTTTTGGTTTGAACCTGTTCAGGGGCATGTTGGAGAAACCAGGCTGTCAACATCACAAAGCTACTGCAGAAAATTTAAGTCTTTCTCACAAGCCCTAGCTAGTAGGATAATACCTAGCACATTAATTAAGGCTAATTAGCCAAGCAGCAGGTTATAAACCAAGACTACTAGAGAAGAGCAAATGAAGCTGAACCAACTTGGAGGCAAGATTCTTTTTTATAACAGAGAATTCAGACTAGACCAAAAGATGCAGGAAATGAAAGTAGAAAACATGATCTCAGAGAGGAGTCATGTGGCAAAACAAATGATAAATTCTAGAAACTTGGTGCATGGGTACAGAGTTGACCAGGAGAGTCCTGACATTTAAATAACTAGCAAAAAGAGAGATCATCTTATAAGCATCAAAAGAACTAAGAGTCTAAACTATGAACTGGAAAGAGAAAATGTAACAGATTCAGATCCTGGTACCATTTTATGTGTTAAATTGTAGAAATACTTCAACTCTGATTATTGACCACAAGCAGGAATTTAGTTCATATTTGTCAATTCCTTAAGTTCTCAATGAGTTCCTGAAATAGAGAAAGTCAGGAAGAAGATGAAAAAGTTTGAATAAAATTATTATATTAATTCCAAGTTGATATTCCAAATGAATATTCTGAAGCTGCTACAGTTGGCATATTCTACTTACTTTGGTCAGACACTTCTGGTGTTCACCCAATATTGTAATAAATAGTTAAACAGTCTTACAAGAGCAGTCAATATTTACAGTCTAATGAAAGAGTACTTTGAAAGAGTTTATTTTTAAAAAGTTTATTTTTCTCTGGGTATAAAGTTAGAAAACAATAAATGCTTTCAAGCAAAAATAAGCAATTTTATAAGAAATATTAACAACTTCTCAAAAGGAAGTTACAACTATCTTGTTGTGACCATAAGCCTAGAATAAATTTAAATCCTTACTTACACAGAAATAGAGCTAAAAATGTAGCTTTTTACAGATTCATACATTTAGCCATCTCGAAAACTACATGTTAATAAGATGGGACTTTACATTGTTAATTTAATTTTTAAAATTTATATCCAAAGTTTTACAAAGACTAGTTTATTAACTCTGGATACCTACACTACATTTAATCTACTTCTATTCAAAAGCCCTTTAAATTACAGATTAGCATATAATTCTTCCACAGATTAAATGTTTGTTGTTAAATTTGTGAGTACCTATAGACCTCAAAAATTGTACTGGACTAAATTAAATAAATGTGCCATTCCAGTAAATCTAAATACAAAATAACTTTTAAAATATTTACATATTGATTTTAAATTCCCTGCAGTATGAATATTTTATGTTAAGCTCCTCTGCTTTGCCTTTCCATAGTGCTTCTTTCTCTTCTCTCACTCTCATTTATACTTTTTTTTTTTTTAATTTACACAATTTAAAGCAAAACAAAACAAATTGTTTCAGATAGGATATGTCAAGGTTGAATGAACTACCATGCTAAGACTTTAGAATTGAAACATCAAACTGATATGGAACTATAGATAAATATAAATACTAGTACAGAGAAATAAGACTAAGAACTGTGTGAACCTCGAGAGTAGAAGAGGATCTCCTCCTAAACTTAGCATTGGGCAAGAAAAATATGGAAGGCAACTAAAATGAAAATACATTGCAAATCAGGATTTGTAACTGGGAATGAGCTAGATACTCAAATAATACTTAAAGCAAGTCTATTCTACATCCTGCAGGGACAGGGGACATAGGATGTGTAAAATAGTGAAACATATCCCCTTTTCCAGAGAAGCTCTGTTCTTACCCAAAAAGAAACATGTAATTGTTTCAAATAATAAAGCCTTATCATGGTAGGCTTAACCTTTAAAGAAGTTATTTCTTATGCAATGAATAAAGCATAAAAGGAATCATCCCGAGGAGCATTAAAGAAATGAGCATAAATATGTGACATTTCTATGTCATTGAAGACAGAAGAAAGGGAAATGAGGTAGTCTCTTATTCTCTTCAAAAATAAGGATTGTAAAATGCTATATTAAGATATGATGTGGAAGTTTCCTTAAATTGCCAACAGTGAAATTTCATAAAGTTGAATGCAAAATAAATAGCATTTCTCTGTGCCTTCCCCCCTCTGTATGTAAATATGTGTACTGTTCTGAAATTTACAGCAATACTTGTCTTAGGATAATCCTGTATAACCTCATTACTGAAAACACTGAATTATTTTTTCTCTTTACATAGAAAGAATGAGGTGGATTTGTGCTAGTCTACTGAGGTTCAAAGCATATGTCAAATAATCCTGGATTCAAGTCTCAATTCTACCACTTTCTAGCTGTGGGACTTTGGACAAATTACAACACTTGCCTGCGCCCATTTTCCTCGTCAATAAAATAGGGAGAATAAAAAGTGTAAGTGAAGTAATCACTATAAAGCCTTTAATACATTTCCTGGGCCATATGGTTACCACCTACTAAATATTAGACCTTGTTATGATGATGATTGATAATCATAGCTTTGAACAATATAATATACCAAAAACAGTTAAATTGTACCAATGTGAAGAAGAATGAAAATAAAATATAGAAATAACATTTCAGATAAAAAATCATTTAGATAGTTAATTAGTCATTTTGCTTTGGTAAATGAAAATGCAAAAGACAACAAGGCAAACTAACCAGTACTATAAACTATCCTACAAAATTCCTTAGTAAATGTTATAGACAAATCAGTGATGAATATAGCTTGAACCTTTGTGAATTGATTGAGAAAACAAATTCCACCAAGTGGTAAGTGGTGGTTTTACAAAAGTGGGATAAGCTACACAGGTTGCATATTCTGAAGGTACAATTATACAAAAGACGTGTTAGGAAAATCAGTGAAAGATGTGTTATTATTGCCAGTGCTTATACATGTAGCTTTTAAGTGTTGTTAGAATTTTCAATCACTTAAAGATTCTTTTTTATGTTGATTTTAATTATTCTGGGTGTATAACAGTTGTATAGCTTCATTGGGTATACATGCATATGTGATGTTTTGATACAGCATTCAATGTGCATTAATCTAATCAGGATAATTGCAGTATCCATCTCTTAGACATTTATTATTTCTTTGTGCTAGAAATATTCCAATTCTACTCTTTTAGTTGTTTTAAAGTATTCCCCAACTTAATGGTGATTATAGTCACTTTGTTGTACTATCCAGTATGGTTCAAACAAGCTAACTCTTATTTTTGTACCCATTAATCCCCATTTTATCCCTCTCCCCCTCTATACTTCCCAGCCTCTGATAACCATCCTTATACTCTCTGTCTGCATGAAATCAATTGTTTTTATTAATTTGCTTCCACCTTAGAGCGAGAACATGCAAGATTTGTCCTTCTGGCTTGACTTATTTTACTGAACAGAATGTTCTTCACTTCCATCCATGTTGCTGCAAATGGCAAGATTTCATTCTTTTTTTTGTGACTGTATAACATTCCATTGTATATGTGTACCAAAATTTCTTTATCCATTCATTTGCTGATAGGCCTTAGATTGATTCCAAATTTTGGTTATTATTATTAGTGCTACAATAAACATGGGAGTGCAGATATCTTTTTGATATACTGATCCAGAAGTGGGATTGCTGGATCATATTAAAGGTTTTCATTATTTTCATTTTGCTCAGGAAAGTTAAATAAGAGTAATGTGGAATCGAGCAAACACATGTAACACAATTCTATGAAGTTTGGAAGTCTTTAGTTTAGAAATATTTTTTCTTTTCTAATAAATTGCTAGATTAAATGTTCTTTGCTTTCCCAAGAATGTCTAACTGGCATACTATATATACACACAAAACAGACTCAATTAAGTTTTAATAAATATTGATAAAGTGAATTAATTACACATAGCCACTACTCTTCATCTCTATTTCAGTGTTGAAATATTCAAGACAAGATCAAAAGAATTAAACATAATGAATATATTCTCCATTTCTGCAATGCTAATTAAGGAATAATAATAATTATTATCATTTTTCTCTTTTTTCCTGTTTTTAGCCGGGACTGGGTTTGAACCTGCCAACTCTGGCATATGGGGCTGATGCCCTACTCCTTTGAGACACAAGTGCCGCCAAAGGAATAGTTATTTTAAATAAAATAAATTTAAGTTAAAATACTAATGTTACAGAAACAAATGTTAATGAATGATCCCTGTCATCTACTGATATAAGCCAGAAATCAGTTTTCCTTGATTTCTCATTGTGTTTAAGAATGAAGAATAATCGTTGAATGAACAGAGAATCTTACATGTATATGCAGAAAAAATAATTCTAGAACAATATGAAAATAGTTTTCCCTTATTTCTATTCACTACATGCTAATTCTACCATGTGTACTTTCTAGTGTAAGATGAGGATGGTCTTATCCCGTCTCTCTGATCTGTCTTTTCTAAAATATTGGGTTATACCAAGTAATACACATCCTACCATCCCATGTATTTTGTAAAGTAGACAACCTGAGCATTTCATGACTTTATTAATACAGAACTTTATTAACACAATTATGAACACATCATAATTGTATTCGTTTGTTTCACGGTGGCCTCTCAGATGATTACACCGGTACAGTAGTTAAGACCATAGTTAACAAAACACTCACCACAGTTGGCCTCATCTGATGCATCTGCACAGTCTGGATCTTCATCACAAACCCATAGCTTGGAAATGCAATGTTTTGTAGTTTTACACTGGAAATAGTCTGGAGAACAGCTGTTTTCAGCTTAAGAGGAAAATACTTATTAAAATGTGGCACTGGAGAAGAAGAGACATTTTATTTATAAAAAGCAATTATAAGCAAATGTTAAAGATGATTTATAAAAATGTATTGCTTTTTAGTTAACAGGGCTCTGAAGGTGAGAAAGTGTAATTACCTATAATGGACTTTTGATATCCTTTCCAGTAGGAATAAATAAAACATATTCCCATAATGATAGTTTGGTAAAAATCAGATTTTTCAAAAAACTCTTGATTATGTATTTAATTTAGTATTTGGAAAGTATTTGTGAACAAAGAATTTGGGGCCTTTTAAAATAAATTTTTCCAGATAAATTTAAGAATTTATGCCCTTGCATATTTACAAACTAAAAATTACTAAAATTGAAAGACATTAAGTGAATGAGGAAATAAAAAACATGAAATTTATCAAAAGCTCTGGGAGTTGTGTTGAGTTTTGAGGGAAGTGAACATCCAACTCCAGCTGTAAACTGCGTCAAAAAGCCCAGTCAGTTTAATGGATCAGCTTCTAGAATGGCTAACCATAAAGAACTGGCACTGACTTTATCCTGAATGCACCATCTTAATCAAATTGCTGGATGACTGCACATTATTTACTGATAAAAGTTTTAAAAGAATAAAATAAAACTTCTGCAAGACAGAAATGTTAACAGCAGTTCTCTTGAAACCCTGCAACTTGACAGGTGCTTTATCTTTCAGACTCTATGTTTATGGGTGCATGTGCACACAGCCTGTGTGCATGTATGTGTATGATGTAAACTTTTTTGCTCTTCATTCAGTGTAATTAGATTTTTGGTGGAGGATGGAAATATGATTTGAAAAGAATCGAAAATATTTTACTATTATTCTTTCACATCCTGTTAAGATATATTAAATGGAGTATTATTGACATTTTGTTCAGGTAATTTTGTTAAGTGATTTTGCTCAGATTTTGCATTTCTTATCCTCAGTTCAATATATATTTCATGAAGGAAAAAAATCTTTAATTAAAATAGAGTTGATTTTAAGTAACTAATTCATCAACATTAGTAAATTATGTATAATTACTTAATACAAGAAAAAAATCACCTTATAAAAAAACACTGCAATGTTCCATTTGATTCTTCTCCAGGATAATGCAGATGACTGGACATTATCTGTGTTTGTCATAATTTCTAAGTAAATTTTTTTTTTTTTTTTTTTTTTTAGAGACAGTGTCTCACTTTGCTCTTGGTAGACAGCTGTGGAGTCATAGCTCACAGCAACCTCCACTCTTGGCCTTAGGCGATTCTCTCGCCTCAGCCTCCCTACTAGCTGGGACTACAGGCACCCATCACAATGCCCAGCTATTTTTTTGCTGCAGTTTGACAGGGACTGGGTTCAAACCCGCCACCCTTGGTATATGGGGGCACCCTACGTACTGAGCCACAGTAAATTTCTAAGTAAATTTTTAAGTAAACTAGTGTGATAATTTTTATATAGGAATTCTTAAATAATCTATCCCAATTGGCACCTACCTATAATTATTTGATCCCATTGCTGTTTTATTTATCTACCCTGTATGAATTATGGAGCATAATAATGATTTTGGACCAATTTAAGCTGGCAGTTTAAAGCAAAGCAAAGCAGAACATTTTGAGGTGACTTACGACAGTCCCTTTCATCTTCCTCATCACCACAATCATCTTGTCCATTACATCTGAGGTTTACTGGGATACATTTCTGGTTCTTGGTGCACTTGAACTGACCTGACAGGCAGACATGTGTGTCTAAATGACAGAGAGAACAAAAAAAAATCTGCCCTGAGACCTGTCTGAATTTAAATCAGTGAAGCTTAGATTTATGTTCTTTAGTTAGGAATTTAATCACCTACCACAGTTGAGTTCATCAGAATTGTCTCCACAATCATTCTCTCCATCACAGATGAAAGCGGGCAGGGCACAGAGTCCAGTTCCACACTGAAATCGACCTGGCTGACATTTAAATTCAGCTGTGAGAGAAAACATACAGGTACTGTAGAATGGCAAACTTAGCACATGACTCCTTAAACAGAAGTAATTTGATATTTAAAATACTTATGTTATTTTGTTAAATATATACCAGAACACAATACGAATGACTCACATCTAGACAGGTATTAGCTTCAGATGTTCAGATAAGCTACGAATAACTCACATAACCTCTAGATAACAGCCAATAAACAGATGGTAAGGGGTTAAGTGTTAACAACATGTAAATACATTTAAAAAAAATAAAAGTATACTCATTTGGCTCGGC